GACATATTTTTAATTTTTTTTTTTTTTTTTTTTTAGGCAAGCACTAGACATGTTACAGGGCAGGGAGAGGAGCAGCCCAGACCCCGCAAACCTGCCTGTTCTAAATAGTTTTGCCATCAGCTGCATCAACACAAAACATATGAGACTTTAATGGGAAGGAACTTTACTCCAATTAGGAAACAACACAGGAAAGGCAAAGAATTTAGTTTCTAAATTATGCACCCAAAGTTACCGGTTCCTTCGTGGGTAAAACTCCGTCCAAATGGGATTGGCCCAGAGCAAGGCCCCAAAGCCTGCAACAAGTCTAAAGCATCTTCCAGTGGGGACACACAGAAAAGGGTTAGAAACAACCAGACAAGCCCGGAAGGAAAAGAGCAAAATCAAAATCAAGATAAAAGTTGCCATTGTCACCTCCCCACGGGTCTCACCCACATCTGTGTCACCCAGTCCACGACCAAAAGACAAGCGCAGTTTTTTCACATGTCTCTAGGCTCCATGCGCCTCCTTCAGGTCTCTTTTTGGATTTTTATCCTGTTTTCTTCCTCCCTCCCTTGGGTGGGGTAGGGAACCTGGAACCTCCCCCTTTCCTGGGGACCACCCTGTTACAGATAGATTGACAAAAGCAAGAAAGAAAAGAAAAAAATAGATACCTAATACCATGTACATTTTTCCAGTAACTTGTCCATATGGCTTTAGGTGTTACCTTGAATTTTGTAAAGAAACCTAGTCATTTACTGGGAGACTATATGTTGTTTTTTCCAAGGGGAAAAGACAAGTAGATTAGTCTTCCTGGAACAAGATCTTATCAAGACAAGTTTAGATAAAAGCCTATAAGTAAGTTTGTTTGTTAGCATAGGCCAGGTTAATTATTATTTTTTTCCTATAGCACAAGTAAACACATTTAAACAAAGCAAAGCACCAAAATTTTTTTAACACTCAAACCTTAAGGCATGTATGCTTTAAACCATTAAATTTTGAATTAGTTTATTTTTACCACAATTTTAGATTACGATTTCAAAATTTAGGATTTTCTATAGGCGCCATTTATAATTAATCCTCCGGAGGCAAAAAGCAAGAACAAAGAGATCTCTTAATTTATTTAAAATTTTTGGCCACGTGCAATTTTAAAGAAACAGTTATTTTTTACCTATATTTGCAAAAACACTGAGAAACTACAATTTAGTAAACTCCAGTTCTTTAATAACAATTTTTTTTTAAAAAGTTTGACACATCTATGTAGGCAAGTTTTTAATATCCTTTTTATATCAAGCAGGTCTTTAATAACATAGAAGTTAGAATTTTTTCATAGAACAAGTATTTAATTTTTAACCCTTATTTTAAAACCTAGAGTCCAACAAAGACCACAATTTCAAAGTTAAGCAGTTTGTACTAACTTTCTTAAATAAGAAAAACATTTTGAGTTTGTATTTTTAAGTAATTATTATTTGGCTTTACATTGTTTTAGTTCTGACTCACTGAGACTAAGCACATTTTTAAAACAAAAGGCAAATTTTTGTTGTTGTTTAGACAAAGAAACTCCCTCCGCCCTATAAACTTTTTCCCGCCATACACAGCTTCGCTAACCCCCACCTTGGGTATGTGAGGTCTGCCTGGGGTGCAATAAATTTTTCTCTCCCTTGAGAAATTCAGCCTGGCTCTCCTTTTCTTTACCACACCAAACCTTTCAGTTAGCAAGTGCAAAGTAACACAGCAGTTTTTTTTTTTTTTTTTAAGGTGAACAAAGGGAGAGTCTAATTTCCCCACAGCTGGAAGGCAGCAGAGACATACCAATGATCTCAACACTGGAGAAAATGTCCAGGCAGTTGCTTATTGAGATCAGAGGCAGTTTTTTTCACCAGCCAGCTGTGGTGGACCCCTTTACTTATTAGTCCCCAGCATTTTACTTTTAGCCTTGACTGTGACCAAAGACAGTGGAGTAGGCATTGCCTGACCCATGATTACGAACACACAAATGCAACAAGGACAACAAACACCAGGAACAAAACCAGAGGTCCCTGGGTAAAGACAAACACCAAAGTTACAAGAAACGAACCAAAAACAAATTTTTCAAACAGGCCCCTTACAGGTACTCAGTACAAACACAAATGCTACCCCAGTGCTGCCCCACAGGGGATAGCCAATCAGGTGGTCCGGGGACGTCTCCCACGGTCCACGCCAGAGGCTCTCTTTAGTGCATTCACCGAGCCTCTCCTGGCTACAGGTACTGAGCACAAACAGCTTCTAAACAATCTGGTGGTCCGGGGATGTCTCCCGCGGTCCACGCCGGAGGCTCTTATCAGTGCGTCCACCTGAGCCTTTTCCGGCTACTTCACAGGTACTCAATGCAAATACAGGTCTGCAGACTAGAAACAAATCTTACCTGGGCGAGTATTGGCACCCACCCGTCGTGCACGCTTTAATGGCTCCCTTCAGCTGTTTGGTGGTTGGGGTCTGTGCTAGCCGATCCCGGACGAGCCCCCAAAATGTTGTGCCCAAGGTCAGCAGACTTGGCGAGCATAGCCTCCAAGAACCCAAAGACAGCTGATGCAAACACAAAAGGGAGTTTATTTCAGACTCGAGTCCGGGTTCAAGGCACCTACCAACGCAGTGGCAGATACCGAGAGTCCCGAACAAAGGAAGCAGGGGTCTTTTAATAAGGTTAAATTATGCTGGCAGTTACTCATTGGCTACAAGGATGAGTTCTCCAACTTTGCCAGGCTATCATTCTAAGCTGACTGGCCAGGCCAAGATGCAGCTCCAACCTGCAGCTCCAATTACAGCAAGTTTACCCTCATTGGTGACCAGAGAGTAAGGGTGGAGTGAGGGTCCAAACTATCTCTGGAATGCAGTCTTTTCCCGGGACAGCAAGACCTGCAAGACCTGAAATTCTAAAATGGCAGTTACACACAAAATGACAAAGCAATGGCTAAGAATATTTATGCTTGGTTTCACACCTTTGTCTCCCTTCCCCCAGGTAACTTCCTGCCCTTTGTTTCCCTCAGCCCATAGTTAATCGTTCACCATGGCAAACTTAGAAATGTTAATTGTAGACACTTACACTTTTTGCTAGTAATACAATAACTGTTAGATTGTTTAAAGTAAATAACTATTTTAAAAACATTTGTTTAGCAACTGTGCCTTCTTTAAGACAAAGAATAATAAATGTTACACCTCTGACTGAAGGCAAACAGACCCTTGGCGGCTCCTGAAAAAGGACATGTGATAATTGTTATCTTCCTACCTTATGCTTGTGTACTCACGATTTGCTTGGTATAAATAAAGGACTACTGAGACCCTCAGTAGGATGATGTCAGCACCTGATCAAGTGTCTGCGTCTCCTCATTCCCTCTCCCCCTTTCCTTACTAATTTTCTCTACAATTGCGCAGACGCCTTCCCATCCTTCAGGAACCCCTGACACCCAGACTGCTGCGGCTGGCTCGCAACACTAAACAAATGTTTTCAAAGTAGTTATTTACTTTAAACAATTCAACAGTTACTGTATTACTAACAAAAAGCCTATGTGTCTGCAACTAACATTTCTAAGTTTGCCATGGTGAACAATTAACTAAGGGCTTGAGGAAACAAAGGGCAAGAAGTTACCTGGGAGAAGGGAAACAAAGAGATTATTTCTAACTAACCTATAAAGTTTAGACTAACATATAACTAATTGATTAAAGTAAAAAACAGAAGGCTTTTATATAGAAATCATCATCTATAGTATATTGTTTTAATATTGATTTGATATTAAGGAACCAAGGGCCTGGAGGGCGTTAATGCCAGGCAAGCCACACTGACTCTTCCCTAGCCCCCAACTCTCAATTAAGGGAGAAAGTCTCCTAATCTAAACAAGGAGTTTTCTACCTATCACTCTACTTTATCTAGTCAGCCTAGTTTCCATATTTAACTATAAGATCAGGGGGCAATTTCCTCTTCCATAAGGTTGCTGGTTGTTGTTCTAAAGAACTACAAATATTTTATCAGGGGCAGGGGCGGAGATGTTTATAGCCTTTGATTCTCAAAAATGGTCCATATGTGACATATCAGTAGTTGTAACATTGACCATTTCCGAGTGCATTATTTGTGCTGCGGTGATTACTAGCTCAACCAGTCACAAAATTGCTGTTGACTTATTCTTGAATGCATACTCTAACAGCTACCATACCAATTGTCACATCCAAGGGAATTAGCCCTAAACAAACAGGAAGAATTTAGCAGGAGTCAACTATAGCATCTCCTGGTTTATCAGGAATTTTCTTATACTTGGAGCATGGCTCGCCTCTGCCACCCAACTGTTATCTTTAACTTTAAAGTAAAGGAATTTCTTTCTCCAATTAGCTCTTGCCTCAAAAGACCACATCTCTATAAGACTTGGCGATAGATGTTTACAACCTTTTGTTTCCAGAAGAGTTTTTCACTGGTTAATGTAAAAGCCAAATGTTGAATTGCTGCCTTTTTGGCAGAGGACTACTAATTTTATGAAAAATGTAATATTTGTATCATGCAGTGCCATTTGTCATCAAATTGGTTATTCAGTGATTGATCAGTATTTGCAGTTTTACTATTAAATGCGTATTTTAGCAATGGTAGAAACTAGCCATAAACAAATGAGGAGAATCTTGGAGTCAGCTAACGAGATTCCTGATTTTTCAGAAATCTGCCCTGTGCCAGGACTTTTGTCAGACGACATGAGTAGTGCGGCTCCCAGTACTGGATGGGCTTGTGGCTGGTGACTTGAAAAGTATAAGTTGATGGTCATTTGTTCAGTTGGTGTCCAGGCTCTCCAGCCTGGGTATTCAGCTTTATGGTTCAACTGTCGGGGAAGGTTGCATCATGATGTGTGTGTGCGCGCGCATGTGTGAATCTAAAAGATAGATGCATCAACTAAATGTTTGCAAATATTTTCATCTGTAAATTCTGTTACTGTCTTATAGAAAACTATGCGTGGGCCCTGATGTGTGAGTATCTAGAGTCCCTCACGTGACATGTGTGTCTCTTGCAGATTGGCGGAAGGAGCAGTTCCGGGCCTGTGAGTGACTCTGTTCTCTCTGGGGCTGCTCAGCTTCTGGCCTTTCCTTCTGTTCTCTGTGTGGACACAGATTCTGCACCCTCCGTGGGGGTGGGGTGGGTGCAGCTATGACGTCACACAGCTGGGCCTGGGGTGACTGGTCATGCGTGCTGAAGGAGCTCCTTAGTCCTTGGAGTCCAGGCTGGTCCCCAGGATGGTCCTGTGACATCTCTGACCACCAATAAGTCTCTGTTTCCTTCTCTTGCTTGGTAGACTGTGGGCTAGGGTCACCAGAGTCTTGTTTTAGGGATCATACCCTCCTCCAAAAAACTAAGTATCTGGGCTGAGGTTGTTGTGCCCTTGCTATGGGGCAGCAGGGGAGTCCTTGAGTAATGGTTCCCTCTCTCTGCAGGGTCTGTCACTCTGGATCCAAGTCCTTTCCATTCCAATATTGTGCTCTCTCCTGACAAGAAGAGTATGACCTGCAACATGATGGCATGAAAAATGGATTTTTGGCTTGGGTCTTGAGGGCATCACATCAGGGTGCTGTTACTGGGAAGTGGAGGTCAGGAGTAGGGACAGCAGTGAGTGGGTGCTCGGGGTCTGGAGGGAAGATGAGAAAATGAGATACAAGGCTCCATCCCCCATGGATGGTTTCTGGGTTGTGGGGCTGTTTGAAAATGTCTTCAAAGCCTTCACTAGCCCTCGTACTTTGCTACCCCTTAGGCAGGTTCCCCACAAGGTGGGCGTTTTCCTGGACTATGTCAAGGGACGTCTCCTTCTATGACATGACTGATGGCTCCCACATCTTCTTCCCTCCTGAGTCCCTTTCTGGGACTCTCTTTCCATATTTTGTCTGCTGTTTTGGAGACGTGTCCATGACCTCTGCCCCTGGAGATTGGGCCCCAGAAGCCCTCTGTGCCCATGTACAATCCTCCTCTGGAGGAGACTGTGGGTCCCTCAGGGGAGGGGATCCCCTCAGGCTCTGGTGTGGAT